TTCTATTCTATTCTATTCTATTCTATTCTATTCTATTCTATTCTACTATTCTATTCTATTCTTCATTCCACTCCACTCCGTTCCACTCTATTTCATTCCAATATTTCTATTCTATTCCATTCCATTCCATTCTACTCTATTCTATTCTACTATTCTATTCTATTCTATTCTATTCTATTCTATTCTATTCTATTCTATTCTTCATTCCACTCCACTCCACTCCGTTCCACTCTATTTCATTCCAATATTTCTATTCTATTCTATTCTACTCTACTCTATTCTATTCTATTCTATTCTATTCTATTCTATTCTATTCTCTCTTCTCTTCTCTTCTCTTCTCTTCTCTTCTCTTCTCTTCTCTTCTCTTCTCTTCTCTCTTCTCTTCTGTATTCTATTTTCTGTTCTAGTCTATTCTGCTCTCTATTCCTGTGATGGCGAACCTATGGTACACATGCCGGAAGTGGCACCCCGAGCCGTCTCTGCAGGCACACGCGCCATCACCCCAGCTCAGTTCCACTGCGCATGCCAGCCAGCTGATTTTCAGGTATCTGCCGTGCATGTGTAGGGAACAGGGGGCATGCGGGAGAGGCGTACGCATGGGCGGGGGGGGGGGGGAACCGGGGGGGGGGGGGTCGTGCCTGCATTGCATTGCATTTCATAGCCTTTCTTGCCTCAGTTGTCAAGTGGAGCACTCCTGTCGATAAGTTAGTAACTCGGTTGTTAAGTGAATCTGGCTTCTCCCCTGACTTTGTCAGAAGGTCACAAAAGGGATCCTCGTGGCCCTGGGATACCGCGGCCATCATAAACATGAACCAGTTTGCCAAGCATCTGAATTCTGATCACATGATCCCGAGGATGCGGGAAAGGCCGTAACTGTGAAAAATGGTCCTAAGTCACTTTTTTCCAGGGCCGTTGTAACTTTGAATGGTCACTAAATGAACTGCTGTAAGTCGAGGACTACCTATACTTTGAAAGCAGGCAACAGAACTTCATTTTTAACGCGGGCCAGTGTGATCGGGGTAAAGAATGACAATAAAGAGGATCTTAATTTTAATTTTCGCAGCTACGATAATCCAGTGTTTTTCTCCGGCCAGGTTCCGGAGACCCTCCCTCCTTAATTCAGCTTCCACAACTAACCCCATGATTCCAAGGTTCACCTGGGCGATATTGTTCTAAGAACGACACCATTTAACTATCTGCCTTCTTTCAACCCCGATCATCAGCATACACCAAACTTTTTGCGGTTTCGACAGAACCAAAACAATCGAATTTGAGACTGAAGAAGTAAGCAAAGCACAGGATAGAATGTGGCATACAGAACTTGGCATTCCCACAGCCAGCAGTTCGATCCTGACCGGTTGAACTCAGCCTTCCGTCCTTCCGAGGTGGGTAAAATGAGGAGCCAGATTGTTGGGGGCAAGAGGCTGACTCTGCCAACTGCCTAGAGAGGGCTGCCAAGTGCTGTGAAGAGGTATATAAGTCTAAGCGCTATTGCTTCCTTCCCTCCCACTGGTTAGAATACAGTATTGCAGGCTGCCCACTGCCAGCAGTTCGATCCTGACTGGCTCAAGGTTGACTCAGCCTTCCGAGGTAAGTAAAATGAGGAGCCAGATTGTTGGGGGCAAGAGGCTGACTCTGCCAACCGCCTAGAGAGAACTGGAAAGCACTGTGAAGTGGTATGTAAGTCACAGTGCTATTGCTATCTTCCTTCCTTCCTTCCTTCCTTCCTTCCTTCCTTCCTTCCTTCCTTCTTCCTTCCTTCCTTCCTTCCTTCCTTCCTCCCTCCTTCCTTCCTTCCTTCCCAAAGGTTAGAATACAAAATTGCAGACTAACTCTGCACACAGCCAGCCGCTTGATCCTAAGAGAGCTGATCCTCAGAGGGCTGTAAAGCACTGTGAAGCGGTATAGAAGTCCATTGCTATGGCGACCATGTTCCTAATTCTTTAAAAACTGAAATTCTGGCCACTCCTTTAAGAGTTTTTTTTTTTTTTTAATCAGATCCTGGAAAGGGAACGTTAGCTCCTCCACCCCCCCATGAATGAATTAGTCCAGTGTTGAATGCTGGCCGGGGGGGTTTCTGGGAGTTGTAGTCCACCCGCCTGAAAAGACGTCAATGCCTTTGGTCCCCGCAATCTCACCTTGACGTACTGTCGCAGAAAGAACGGGCTCATGTCCGGCGGAGAGGAGGTGGTGTGGGGCTTCAGGAGCTGGCTGGTGGGCACGGGCTCCTCGTCGTTCTGCTGGCTCTTCCAGTAGTCCAGTAGTGACTTCAGGACGTGAAGGCAATAGTCCACGGCTCCGGAGCTCAGCAAGGCAGCCGCGGTGGCACTCGAAATCAGGGAGGACGACTGCGGGAGACACAGAGAGAGAGCATGGAGGGGCCCAAGCGGTGGTGTTCAACTGGTTTGGCCCAGTTCGGCCGTACTGGTGGTAAAAAAATAAAAGCCTCCCCACCATCAGCTGAGAGGAGAAAGAAGACAAAAGCACAGGATCGGCCCTCCAGGCCGCAGCTGGTGTGGGGAAAGCTGCACATTGGGTGCGCTCGCACACGATCACTGAACTGGTAGGGGAAGAGGAAGAGTGTCACATCCCTGTCAGAATCTGATTCTGAGGGAGAGGAGGAACAGCCGACAGGAAATGGGAGTGTGGCTCCGGAGGTTGTGGTGGAAATTGGGGAAGGGCGCAGGCCAGCTAGGCATTCAGAAGAAGACCCAGGCCCATTCCTTCTTCATCCTAGGGCACACAAGGAGGAGCGGATAAGGGAGAAACATGAGTGGTGTGGTCTACGGGGGAGGAAGGGGCCCTGATCCCCTTCATGGGCTGCAGCTGTGAGGACTGTTTAGAAGGACAAACTGCGCACAGCCCAGTGCTGCAAGCGAAGCGTGAAATAATTCTAGTCTGGCAGTTCTTATCTGAGTTCTGGCCTCCTTCCCAGTGTGTGCATTTCGATATCTGTGGACGTCTTCAAGCCCTTACCCTGCCTTGTCTCATGAATTGCTTCAGTGTGGTTTGTGTTCTTTTTTCTATTTATAATTTATATGTATTTTGAGTTTGAACGGATTTTCTTCCTTTGTGCAACTGTTTGTGGGGGAGTTTTTTTCTCCGGTCGGTGATAATTGGACTTTGGAGACCAAGTTGAAGGAATTAAAGGGACTTCCACCTGTTTTTGTGACTTTGCCGTTTTGGTATCCCACTCTGGGTCATCACATAGGGTCCCACGGCTAGAGGGACCCCGTCGCTCTTCCCTCAGCCGACCAAACGGCCCAGCCACTTGAAACTGAAATCAGAGGCTCAGCACCCAAGTCTCCAGTTCGACTGTTCTGAGCTTCTGGGGGGTGCGAGATGCTGATACGAGAGAGATGGAGGTTGAGCCCTCTGGGCTCCTGAGCTCAAGTCCAAGAGGGGTTGGGGAGATGAATTCAATGGCCAGCCTCTCTTTCTCGCCGGCTCTTTAGAATCATCATTTGATGCTACTTTTTTTTAAAAAAAAAACCTCACTGCTGTGAAATATCGTTATTACACACACACACAAAGCCTGGGGGAAAAACCCAGAAAAATCAGGGAAAACAACCCCGGTTTTTTTTTCTCCAATTTTTTCCATTTTTTTCCCCCAGGCCGTCCCATCTCTACACCTACCCCCAAAAAAGATTAAAAAATAATAATAATGTCTTTTTTTAAAAAATAAATCCTGATTTCATTCACTAAAGACTAAAGACAAGGCAGGCAGGATCCAGCTTCCGGGGCTTCTATCTCCTTCCTTCTCCAGGGCTCCCGACAGCTGCGCAGGGAAAAGCTCCTTCTCTGCCCAAGCCTCAGCCGTGCCAGTGGAAGTCTGAGCCAAGGAGGCCGAGGGGGCATCCACGCTGGCGCCAATGCCATCTCCCTCAGGGTGAAAGGGACTGGGCGGATGTGGTGGTGGGGAGGCAGGTGATCACATGCAAGAATACCAACAGAAGCCCAGGGTTTCCCCAGGGTAGAGTCTCGGTGGCCCAGTACTGCAGGCTGCCTGCAATTTGGCAATTCAAATCCCACCAGGCTCAAGGTTGACTCAGCCTTCCGTCCTTCACAGGTGGGTAAAATGGGGACCCAGATTATTTGGGGGGGCAAGAGGCTGACTCTGTAGAAAGGGCTATAAAACACTGAAGCAGTATGTAAGTCTAAGGGCTATTCCCTCCCTTCCTTCCTTTCCTTCCTTCCTTTCCTTCCCTCCCTCGCTCCCTCCTTCCTTCCCAGTGGTTAGAATGCAGCATTGCAGGTTAATTCTGCCCACAGCATAGTTCAATCCTGGCCGACTGGCTCAAGGTTGATTCAGCCTTATGTCCTTCTGAGGTGGGTAACATGAGGACTCAGATTGTTGGGGGCAAAAGGCTGACTCTGTCAACCACTTAGAGAGGGCTGGAAAGCACTGTGAAGTGGTGTGTAAGTCTAAGTGCTATTGCTATCTTCCTTCCTTCCTTCCTTCCTTCCTTCCTTCCTTCCTTCCTTCCCTTCCCTTCCCTTCCCTTCCCTTTCCTTCCCTTCCCAATGGTTAGAATGCAACATTGCAGCCTGACTCTGCCCACTGCCAGCAGTTTGATCCTGACTGGCTCACGGTTGACTCGTCCTTCCATCCTTCACAGGTGGGTAACATGAGGACCCAGATTGTTGGGGGCAAGAGGCTGACTCTGTAAATCTCTTAGAGGGGGCCAGGAAGCACCGGGAAGCAGTTTATAAGTCTAAATGCTACTGCTACGCTAACGCTATCGGTAACGTTGAACCCAGGACCTTCTGCAGAGTAAGGGCAGGGATGCTTCCATCGGCCTGGCACGGCCAGGCGATGCAAGAACACTTATCCAAACCACTTCGGGGTTTCCGTGGCTTGCAGCCCCTGAGGCCAAGCAAGCAGGAGGGAGAATGAAGGATTTTGAGGGGGAGCTTTGCGCCCGATCCAGCAGACTCCAGATGGCCTCAAGAGGAGCCACAGAACGGCCCTCGGGGTGGGTGGGGGAAGGTCACCGCACTTCTGCTGGGACTGGGCACTTGGTAGCCTTTGATATTCTTTTAAGAGAGCGATGATAGGAGCCCCTCTACGCTTCGGAAGGAGGCTTAGTTTAAAAGAGGCAAGAAGGAGGAAGGGAGGGAGAGAGAGAGAGAGAGAGACAGAGAGAGAGGTAAAATGGCAATCAGCTCTGGAGTCTAATCTCCCCTCGACACACATGCCGGTGGGCACCAAGCAGAGGATTAAGGAGGAGGAGGAGAGAGGGGCTCCCAGCCCCTTTTCATTTGCCTCTCCTTCAAACGAGGAGCTGAGAGTCCTCTCCTCCGTTCCCCTGGAATTCAGCCAGTTGGGCGGTGGAAGGGAGGCTGCGGCGCTTTTGAAGAGATGCCAGGAGCCTCCCCGGCTCTCTCGCCCCCCAATTGGTCATCTGCACTTTGACAGGTTTTGAAAAGCCCCCCACCAATCCTCTCCTGCACTTGGGAGGAAAAGGGGGGAGGGGTGCAGAGAGTCTGGTGAGCCCCAAGTGTAAATAAAACCATTAGAGAAAGCCCTTCCTAAATCCAAACAAAGCCCACAGCCCGTAAGCTCATTAAAATTCAATGCCTCCCCAGTTCCATTTTTAACCTCTGCGCTTTTGTTATTAATATGCTTTCCGCGACATGCGCCTTTGCCAGCTTCCGCTCTTGAAATGCCGCCTTAGCGCGGCACCGTTTAGCAACGGAATCCTCTTAGCGGGTTCGAAACATGGCAGATAGCGCGGACATCTCGGCCTACCCGACAATCCCATTTGCAAATCCTCCCTCCCTTCCACCCACCCATGGGGCTGTTTTTCTTTCTCTCTCTCTCTCTTTTTTTCTTTTTTTAACCATGGAGGGTTTGGTGGGCAAAGGCTGCCCGGTCACCCGGGTCCCAAACCCGGAGCCCGGAGGGTTTGTAATCGGGAAAGGAGGTGTTGTCGCCTGTCGGCCGCTGGCCCCTCCAGCAGCCAAATCAGAGGAGGAGGAAGCGTGGGAGTCAGGGTCAGCATCAAGGCAACCTGAGAGCTCCAAGGGGGGAAGAGGGAACGGAGCTGGCAGAGAGAGAGAGAGAGAGAGAGAGAGAGAGAGAGAAAGAGAGGGAGAGAGGGAGAGAGAGAGAGAGAGGGAGGGAGGGAGGCAGAGACGGAGCCTGAGATGTCAACAGCCCCCAGGACTGGAGGTGGCTGATGAGGAAGAGGAGGAACAGCTGGGTCCAGTGACTGAGTGCGGATGCGCAGAAGGCAGAGGAGAGGAGAGCAGTGGAAATCTATGGGCCGGTCCTTGGGACGGAAGAGCCACCGCTGCTATAGGAGCCCCATCCTAGCTCTGGGGATAAAAGGCAGGGGGCGGAGATGAATAGATTGTGGTAGACAACTATTCATCGCCCTGCTGGACGGACTTGTTAGCCCGCGGTGAGAGAGAAACTTTTTGGCAGGGCTGCCGACGCTCCTAATTAAAGGAATCTTTTGAGTTCACGTCAGAGGGTTTGTCGTGTTTGGAGAGCTGGGTCAGAACAGGTGGCAAAGAGGGGGAATTGGGAAGGGGGAAGAAAACAGCCTTTTCCTTTCTGCCTGACACGCACCCCGCCCAGACCCGCTTGTGGGGCATGCCCCACTTACCAGGCCCCGCTCCTCACATACCTCACAAATGGACGATTTCGAGCCAGATTTGGTCCGGGACATGAAGACGCTCAAGAGCCTCATGATTACCAGGTGGACTTCATTGTGGGGAGAGCGTTCGTTCTTCTTGGACACGTCCTGCGAGAGAGAAAGGAAAGATTGAGGAAAGGGCTAAGGGAAAGGATTTGTGGTTGCCCATCGACAGGTAGTCCTCGACTTACAGCAGCACATTTAGTGCACCGTCCAAAGTGACAATTTGCACTGGGAAAAACAATTCAGTTGTGACCGTTTTTCCCACTTTCACACACCACTAAAGAAGCATCTCCCCACCTCCCACCCCCATGTCCATATGATCAAAATTCGGATGCTTGACCGTTGCTTCACGTTTGCAACGGTTGCAATACTCAAGGGTCACGTTATCATCTTTCGTCACCTCAGATTAACAGAGTTGGAAGGGGCCTTGGAGGTCATCTAGTCCAGGGGTCGCCAACCTTTTGGACCTCAGGGACCACCAAACTCATCATTTTAAATCCCGCGGACCAGAGGCCCTGGGAAAATCCCCCCCCAAAAGTCTGCAGGAAAATTCTCCACCTCATTTTCCTACCAATCAATCATTCTTTATTTGGGATCACAGGATACTGTCTCCAGCTCTATTCTCAGTGGGGGAAAGAGACTTTTGGCTTCATGCAAGGAAAGCAGCAGAAGCCGCAGAAGTCTTTCTTTCTCTCCCCCAAACTCTGCCAGAAATGAGTCTTTCGTGCTGGCGCAGCCTCTTGGAACAGGAGGCCTTGCAGGGTTCCCCAAAGACTCATTTCTGGCAGAGTTTGGGGGAGAGAAAGAAAGACTTCTGCTGCTTTCCTTGCGTGCAGCCAAAAGCAGAAGAAGAAAGAAGCGGAAAGAAGCAGCCCGGTGGCCAGGCCAGGTGCGTGGGGTGAGTGGGGCAAGTTCGCCCCCTCCACCCTTTCCCCCCTCCCCTCACTACCTCCTGTTGTTCACAATGCAAGCAACGCAGGCCTTGTGTTCCCGTGGGCCATGTGGGCGGTGCAGCCTTGTGTTCCCATGCAGCCTGGATGAATTGCTTTGGGGGTGACATTTCTCTGCAGTCCACCAAAATTTTCTCACGGACCACCAGTGGTCCCCATCCCTGTGGTTAGCGACCACTGATCTAGTCCAACCCTCCAGCTCCTGACAAGTAAAGCCGATGGAGGAAGCCAGGTTCACTTAACAACTGTGTACCACTAACGTAATACAATACAACGATTCACTTAACACAACTGCGACGGGAAAAGTCGTACAACGGGGGCAAACTCACTTAACCAGCATTTGCTTCACATAGCAACAGAAGCGCTGGGCTCCCTTGGGGGGGGGGGTCATAACTCGAGGACTACCTGTAGTCTGAACCCTTGCCAGACACAAAGCGGAGGAGAAAAAAGCCACCTGTTACGCCCGATTCCCCCGAGAATTATGATGGGTGCACGTGCGCAGACCGATCTCGGATACCCCTTGACTGCAAATACTTTTGTGTTGTTTTTTTCAAAGCTGGCACTACGGCCTGCAGATCTGACTCATTTCGTGACCAGGCGGGCAGCAAACGAATTAAATATATACGGTTAAATAAACAGCCAACACATCCACGAGGCCAAAGGCAGTGAACCTGACAAAGCTGCTCCGCCGGCTGTCTCTCTCTCTCTCTCTTGAGCTGCTGCTGCCCTCTAGTGGCCAGCAAGTCAAAGGGCTTCCTCGTCTGGCCTGCAAAGGGGCATCTTCCCCACAGGTTTACGACTTAGGATGATGCTCCTCGGGGTTATTGCTTCTCCTCCCTGTCACTGGTTCCCATCCTGAATCACAAGTTTGACTTAGGATGGAAACTAACCAAGGAGAGAAGCAACCTGGAATGAAGGAGAAACGCCCGAACAGGGAGGACAATGAACCAGTGGAACACAAGTTGCCTTGGGACGTTGCGGTGGATGCTTCATCACCGGAGAAGAGACGGGACAGCCCCTGGTCTGAAACGGCACAGGTTTCCTCCTCAAGCAGGGGGCTGGACTAGAAGACCTCCAAAGTCCCTTCCGGCTCTATTCTGATCGAGAGCTTAAGAGTTTCGAGGAGAAGCAGCTGCTTCTCATCACATTTTCACGTCTCATGGGGGGTGAGGGGAGAAGGTTGACATACAGAAAGTGTGTGTTTGTGTGCGTGTGTGTTACCTTCTTCTCCATGCAGAGCTCAGCTATCAGCTGGGCAAGAAGGTTGTCCAGGGCCCCTTTGTCTTTGTCTTCATCGCCATCCAGGTCTGTGGTCAGCATCAGGATCACCTGGGGACGAAGGCTCACTGAGGGACAAAGCCAGAGACGACGGCCGGGGGGGGGGAGGCGTCGAATCCCCCAGTCTCTCCCACCTGCCCAGCCTTCCAAATAACACTAAAAAGCGTTCGGACAATATACTCCAGTGTTCCGCCCCCCAAAAAGCAGGATCGGCGAGAGGCGCGATACCGAGGGACCTTCCGTATTCTCAACCTGTGAATCGAGCCTCGGTGGCGCAGTGGTGAAAGGGCGGTACTGCAGGGCTACTTCTGCTGCCTGCAAGTGGCAATTCAAATCCCACCAGGCTCACGGTTGGCTCAGCCTTCCGTCCTTCCGAGGTGGGTCAAACGGGGACCCAGATTGTTGGGGACAAAAGGCTGACTCTGTAAACCACTTGAAGAGGGCTGTAAAAGCATCGTGAAGCGGTCTATAAGTCTAAGGGCTATTGCTGTTTGCCTTCCTTCCCAATGGTTAGAATACAGTACTGCAGGATGACTCTGCCCACTGCCAGCAGTTCGATCCTGACCGGCTCAAGGTTGACTCAGCCTTCCCTCCTTCCAAGGTCGCTAAAGTGAGGACCCCGACTGTTGGGGGACAATAGGTTGGCTCTGTCAACTGGTCAGAGGGGGCTGTCAAGCCCTGTGAAGTGGTCTATAAGTCTAAGGGCTATTGCTGTTGCTGTGCTTAGGATACTGGGCGCCATTAGGAGAGACCTGGACTTTGAGTACCAGAGAAGAGAACCACAGCTGGGGGGGAAAACACCCCTGGCCCCCCCACGCCATACGCATTACAAGGATGGCAGGGAGGAGATTCACTCAGACCCACCTGCATGTAGGGGATGGCCCGGACTCCGCCGACGTTCCTCAGCTGGGGGAGGGTCTGCAGCAGCCGTTCCAGCAGCATCAGCCTGACCATGTGCAACCTGGGAAAGAGAGAGAGAGAGACATGAGAGAGGGGGTGGGGCAGAGAAGAGAGAGAGAGAACGAGAGGGAAAGAGAGGGGGAGAGAGAAGAAAGAGAGAGATGAGAGAGAGCAAAGAAGAGAGAGAAAGAGAAGGAGAGAGAGGGGGGAAAGAGAGAGGAAGAGAAGAGAGAATGAGATAAGTGAGAGAGGGAAAGAGAGAGAGAGAGATGAGAGAGAGACATGAGAGAGGGGGTGGGGCAGAGAAGAGAGAGAGAGAGAGAACGAGAGGGAAAGAGAGGGGGAGAGAGAAGAAAGAGAGAGAGAGATGAGAGAGAACAAAGAAGAGAGAGAAAGAGAAGGAGAGAGAGGGGGGAAAGAGAGAGGAAGAGAAGAGAGAGAGAGATAAGTGAGAGAGGGAAAGAGAGAGAGAGGGAGATGGAGGAGGAAGGCTTGTGAGGGCGGGCTGTAAAACCACCCTCTGGCAACTGATCAGCATGATTTGTGCTCCCAGGTTTAGCCCTAAGCGACATCCACGGTGCACCCTGAGGAGGAGGAACGGAGGGGTCCAACCACCCCAACAGTTAACTGTCCCCCACTGCTCACTCTGCCCCCGATGGCCTCCGACAGAACAGCCAGGAGCCACATGACGCAGGTCCTTCCCCTCGCCCCAATTCCCGAGCCAGCTTTTGCCCTCCTCCTCCCCCCCTTCCCCGCCTCCCCCACGGCAGTTTTGACTCACAGGTTGGGGGTCCCCTGCAAAGGTGGCCCTGCAACCTCCCCACCCCGCCCCCCAGCAGGGAAAAACAAAAAAGAGCCCTCTTGCCTGTTGCTGGCGTGGACGTCCCCTTCGGCCTCGCCCTCTCCTTCCGAGCCTTCGCCCTCCGGCTGCCCCGTGGCGGTGCTGATGGCCCCTGTGCTGGAGCTGATGCTTCCGGGCCCCGCCGGATGACCCTCGGCCGCTGTGTCTCCGTAGGCGCTGCTTCGGCCGGACACTGCAAAGGAAAGCTGGGAAGGTGAGCACCGGCGGTGCCTGGCCAGTCTTCGGCTGAACAGAGCAGGCAAACCCCACAAAGGGAAGAAGCGGGAAAACCGAGAGGGCCCATTACCGCTGTGTTCGCCTGCCACGGAGTCCACCGCGCTGCCTCCGCTCTCGGAGCCCACGCTGCCCCCGTGGTCGGCCGGGGAGGTACGGAGCGTGGAGCCGTCCGTCGCAGCCGTGCTGCCTTCGTCGTCGGAGGCTGGAGCTAGGAGAGTAAGGAGAGCTGTTACAAGTAAAAACCCGGCCTCTGAGATGCCCCAACGGGGACCAGCCCGAAGCGGGGCTGCCTTGGAGAGCGTTGGCTTCTTCGGCAGGCCGAAGAAACCAGGGCTGGGGTCTTCCTATCCGCTTCAAAAAAACGTGTGTGTGTGTGTCTGTTTAAACTGGAGGCAACGCGGACCAGGGTGGACAAAAAATTATGATTTAAAAAAATGGATTCTTTTTTATTTAATTTGATTTTTTAAATTTAAACCTGATTTTTTAAATCAAATTTATTTTAATAAAATGCTTTCAGAGTAAAAAAAAAAAATCTATCTGAAGATGGTTTTTCTATTTAAGATACGTTAATTTAGTTCCCTTCAGCCTGAAATGGGAGCTTAGTCAAGGTAGCACAAGGCTGTATATTCTGCAAAATTTACGTTCAGAGCGCGCGAGCTCGGCGAGCTCAATGGGAAACCTTCGTTTTGTTTGCAAACACAGTTGGAACCTCGGATCGTGACTGTAATCCGTTCCAAGATTACGGCCGCAACCAGATTTGGTCGTGACCGGAGGCATGACCGACTGTACGCGTGCAGACAAAAATATTTGTGTGGACTGCGCATACGTGGAAGGGGGAAATCGGCGTGGAAAGGGACTCTGCCACAGCCGGGTTTCTTTACCAATCGGATTTTTGAATCGTGACCCGATTCAAAAAAATCTAGTGGATTTGTTGGTCGGAACCTGATTTGGTCACAGACAGAAGCGTTCGCAACCCCGAGGTTCCACCGTAATAATAATATTATAGATTTGAACTCCCAGCAAGCACTGAGTCCTTACATTTACAGAGCACCTGTCATTTCAGGATCCATCCTGGCAGCACCTATTAGCGGGCATCCACTCACCTGCCGCCCACCAACATCCCTCACCTTGTTGGGTCCCTGTCACCTCACCAGTTGTCCCACTCCGGGGAATGGGACTGTCAGTGAATCAACAGCCGTCAGAGGAGGGATCACAGTGGCTCTTTCAAAGTTTTAGATCAAGTTGACTTGAATCGAGCCTTTTTACTGGTGATTTAAATGGTGATTTAAATCAAATCCACCTTGATAGGGACTGTCTCGCGAGAGGCGTCTGATCGAGGCAGGGCTGATTAATAGCAACAGCACTTAGACTTATATACTGCTTTATAGTGCTTTACAGCCTTCTCTAAGCGGTTTATAGAGTCAGCCTCTTGCTCCCAATAATCTGAGTCCTCATTTTACCCATCTCGGAAGGACGGAAAGCTGAGTCAACCTTGAGCTGATCAGGACTGAACAGCTGGCAGTGGGCAGAGTCAGCCTGCAATACTGTATTCTACCCATTGTGAAGGAAGGAAGGAAGGAAGGAAGGAAGGAAGGAAGGAAGGAAGGAAGGAAGAAAGGAAGAGCCCTTAGACTTATATACCGCTTCACAGTGCTTTTACAACCCTCTCTCAACAGTTTACAGAGTCAGCCTCTTGCCCCTAACAATCTGGGTCCTCATCTGACCCACCTCGGAAGGATGGAAGGCTGAGCCAACCTTGAGCCTGGTGGGATTTGAATTGCCAAATTGCAGGCAGCCGGCAGTCAGCAGAAGTAGCCTTGCAACACGGCACTCTAAGCACTGCACCACCGAGGCCCCCCAACCCCCAAGGAGCGGGTTTGACCCCGTGTGCGTTACCTGATGCAGTGGTGTCTGACAGAGTCCCGGCATCCAGGGAGGAAGAGCTGGGGGCCTGTCCAGACAGCCCCAGGCTTTGCAGGCCGAGAGCGCTGCTGCTGCTGCCTATGTGAGAAAGAGAGAAGGAAAGGAAGGGCAGGAGAAATCAATGCCAGGGGTACGGGATGAACCAAGAAAGAAGTCTCTTGTTTTTTTTTTTCCCCCTCCGTGTCCGGGATAACTATAGCAACAGCGCTTAGACTTATATACCGCTTTGCAGGGCTCCATGGCCCTCTTTCAGCGGTTTACAGAGTCAGCCTCTTGCTTCCCCCAACAATCTGGGCCCTCAACTGACTTCGGAAGGACGGAAGGCTGAGTCGACCTGCAGCCGGCCAGGATCGAACTCCTGGCTGTGGGCAGAGTTAGCCTGCAATACCGTATTCTAACCATAGGGAAGGAAGAGAGGGAGAGAGGAGGGGAATGAGGAAGGAAAGGAAAGGAAGGGAGGAAAGAGACGGGAATGGGAAGGCAGAGAGGGAGGGAAGGAAACAGGAAGGGAAAGGAGGAAGGCGGGAAGGCAAGGGGCGAAGGGAGGAAGGAAGGAGATGGGAATGGGGAGGGAGGGAAGGTAGAAATAGCGCTTAGACTTTTATACCGATTCACCGTTGCTTTTACAGCCCACTCTAAGCGGTTTGAGTCAGCCTCTCGCCCCCAAACAATCTGGGTCCTCATTTGACCCACCTCAGAAGGACGGAAGGCTGAGTCAACCTTCAGCCTGGTGAGATTTGAACTGCCAAATTACAGGCAGCCGGCAGTCAGCAGAAGTAGCCCTGCAGTACCGCACTCTCCCCACTGTGCCACCACGGCTCACTCCCGGATCCCTCCCCTCCATACAGCACAGCAGGCCTTGCCTTGCCCAGGTCTATAAAGGAGGGGCCCCCACCCCGCCACCCCACTGTAGCAGGGAAGGGGCCCGCCTGCCTCTCTCACCCTGCTGGTCCTGTTGCAGGCTCAAGGCGATGGCCAGCTCGACCATGGTTTCGTCATCGGCATCGGGCGGGATGTCCAGCATGGGAGGGAAGCCCTCGGCCCCGGCCAGGAGAGCCTCCAGAGGGGACGGGTTCCCGTTGTTCACATTGTCGGCGGTTTCCAGGACCATCGAGTCGGACTAGGAGCATGAGAGATGCCAAAGCATTGTGGCCTGGCGCGTTAGACCAGGGGTCCCCGAAGGGTCCTTTGGGCCGGGGGCATGCCGGAAACCGGGCTACGCAAACAAGCAAAGCCCCACCCAGGGGACACAGGCAGCACGCGAAACCACACCCTTCCCAGCCCGGGAGGAGACCTCTCTCCACGGTCCCTGGTGCCCAGAAGGTTCGGGGGGGGGGCTCTACGTTAGACAGATCCCCCATTATGCCCCTGGGAGACGTACAGACCCACTGACATCCACCCCCCCCTCTAAGCGATCATTACATTAAGCCCACCCCAGGCAGACCCCCCCAACGAAGCGTCCCGATGCCCCAGCCTGAGCGTCAGGCCCGGATTCCCTCACCGCCCGGGGGAACTCACCACCATCTCAAAGTCTCCGTGGTCCACCTCGTTTTGCTCCTGGCTCTCCTGCCGAATGTCCTCCCCATTGGGCAGGCCGGGGGTCTGCAGCTTGTCGTCCGCGTCGTCGTCGTCATAATCGTCTTTGTCGCCTGGACGTTTAAAATAATAATAATAATAATAATAGGAAAGTCCTGCGAAGCCCAGACAGATGCCGTAGAGAGAGAGAAAGAGAGAGAGATGGAGAGAGAGAGAGAGAGAGAGGAGAGGGGGGCTGGGAAGAAAGGGGAGCGAGAGGGAAAAAGAAAGAGAGGGAGGGAGGCAGAGAGAGGGGAGAGAGAGGGGAGAGGAAGAGAAAGAAAGGAAGGAAGAGAGAGGGAGAGCGAGGAAAGAAAGAAAGAAAGAAAGAAAGAAAGAAAGAAAGAAAGAAAGAA